TGTGAGACAACACAATAAACACAGTGCAGACAACACAGCACAATAAAGAAATACGAAAGACTTACAACAAATACAAACAGAAGAGGTTCTATTTGGGTGGTGGATCATTCTCAGCGCTGCAGTAACACTGACGTGGTGGTGGTGTGTTAGTGTGTGTTGTGCTGGTCTGAGTGGATCAGACACAGCAGTGCTGCTGGAGTTTTTAAACACTGTGTCCACTCACTGTCCACTCTATTAGACACTCCTACCTTGTCGGTCCACCTTGTAGATGTAAAGTCAGAGACGATAGCTCATCTGCTGCTGCACAGTTTGTGTTGGTCATCCTCTAGTCCTTCATCAGTGGTCACAGGACGCTGGTCACAGGACGCTGCCCACAGGCCGCTGGATATTTTTGGTTGGTGGACTATTCTCAGTCCAGCAGTGATGCCGAGGTGTTTACAAACTCCAGCAGCACTGCTGTGTCTGATCCACTCAGACCAGCACAACACACACTAACACACCACCACCACGTCAGTGTAACTGCAGTGCTGAGAATGATCCACCACCCAAATAGTACCTGCTCTGTGGGGGTCCTGACCACTGAAGAACAGGGTAAAAGGGGGCTAACAAAGTATCAGAGAAACAGATGGACTACAGTCTGTAACTGTAGAACTACAAAGTGCACCTATATAGTAAGTGGAGTTGATAAAATGGACAATGAGTGTAGAAACAAGGAGGTGGTCATAATGTTATGCCTGATCGGTGTGTGTATGTGTGTGTGTGTGTGTGTGTGTGGGTGTGTCTGTGTGGGTGTCCTTCAGTTAAGTTCGTGGGAGTTGAGGAAAGTAGGGCTGCATGATGTGAAGATAGAATGCGGCGTTGTATTCCATGATGTCGATATGAGAAGTGTTAAATTAATATTAAAATAGTATTATTAATAGAAATAAATAGAAATGAAACACTAATGGCTGCTCACAGCAGAACTGAGCGCAGATTATTTGTGACTGAAAGAGAAACAGCATCACCTCAACAACTTTTTCTACAAAGGCTACAGAATGTATTTATGTATTTATATATGTGTTTATTTTACATAAGCACACAAGAATTAATCAATATTTATATTTACATGTTTATTTATGTTTAGTTATTCAATGTGTTTGCTGTGACAGCAGGCATTACTGCTTCACACACTTAAAACACAGTACTGGGTGTGAGGAATCCTAATGTTTGATGCTTTGTGTGTTGTTATTGGCTCTTTAGCTGAATGGTTAAGTCAGTCATCCTCCAAACGGTGGAGCAGCGTTCAGTCCAGCGCAGAGACGCTCTCGTTAGGCTTCTGAATGTCTGTGCTGGTAATATAAGATGTCTGAACTGGTAATATCAGAATCACTTAATTTCGCCAAGTGTTGCATTGGCAAGCATCGTGCTGAGGGGGGAGAAGGAGGACCACCCTGCGCACCCAGAGATCGAGAAAGAGAGTAGTTATGCTCTAATGAACTCTCGGATGGCTGTGGCATCACCAGGGATCAAACTCGGGATCAGATTCCAACTCTGGTCTCTTCAAAAAAAAAAACACCTGGAAAAAAATGATCTGTGCATCGTTACCTTTCTCCTTGGCTGGCTCTTTCAGCGCCTGCTCCTTCTGCAGGTTCTCCTCAATCTGCGCCCTCGTCACTTTGCCCGACGGTTCTTTAGGCTGTTTCCCCTTCAGCCTAGAGTTCTCTTCATCCAGGAGCCGCTGGTTCTCCCTCTTTCTCTCCAGAGCCTCCAAACGCTTCTTCTCCTTGTCATCCTGCACACATGCACAAAGGAACCTTCAGTACATTCTTAAAACCCCAGAGAACCGAAATCAGTTTTCTTTCTAATGTAATTTGTGATGGGGTGGGCGATGCTGCAGAAATATCACAATACTTTAAGACGTTTTCACGATACCAATGTGAATCACGATATTTACTTTTTCTGACATTTAATAAGTTGGAACAGACAAAACATGACCTGTATCACCACATATAAAACAGGATAATAATAATAATAATAACAATAATAATAATAATAATAATAATAATAAACCTACAATTACAATGATTTTTATTCAACGTTCTACAAACTGCTACACTAAATCAAATTAAACCGACCTCACTTTGTAACGAACCATGTAGGTAGTCAGTGTTCTTTAAGTACTGTCGATATCCACGATGTGCTCGGAAAAGCAACTGTGATCATTTATCACAATAACGATAAAATATCATCATATTGCCCATCCCTAGTACGTGCTGTGAAAACCTTTCCAATGTTCACTAAATGATCACTGGATTTTGACAACATGATGTAAACTAGGAGTTTGTAATCTTGGGTAGTGCTTACTTCAGCAGTGCCCCCACCAATCACAAGGCTGATGTGGTCTGCCCCGCCCACACAGCTTCAACAAAACTGTGTTTCCCTCTCGTCGTCTCTGTGTTCAAGTCAGAGGAACTTAGAGAGAGAAATCTAAACACCAAGCGAGAGCTTCGCACCCAGCAAGCATGACTGAGCTCTCAAGGACGTCCACTCGTCTGTTTGTTTGGTCAGACAGCCAGGCAGCAGGACGGGAGGGCTGTCAATCACGCAAGCTCATCAGAATATTAGGCCAAGCTCAGACAGTTTAATCTGGATGTTTGACTCTCAATATAACGCTCAATTTAGTGTCATATAAACATTTTAAATATTTTTAAATATTTTAACCCTCTACTGCACACATTACGACAGGAATTTTTGAAAAAAAAATATTTGATTCACTTTTGCATAAAACTGACCTGATTAATTCAATTTTTTTAAATTATAATGTGTGCAGGGGTCCTTTTGGTGCATGCTGCTTTAAGGCAACATTGTGCGACAATGGGACAAAATGATAGACGCCCTAAAACCATTCCACTGCCGCACAAGGTTGCTTCTAGGCAACAAACATATTTCTGTAAATTCTAATGACAAAAAAAAATACTGAATGTTAAAAAAAGAGGTTTAAAAGTGTCCACTAAGAGACAGTAGGACCAAGTACATGCTTTTATTGACTTACTAAAACTCTGCCCTTTATTGTTAACCCTGTCATTGTCGTTAAATATGTATAAAGTTATTGTAAAGTGAGGAGAATAAGTTTGTTGCCCTGAGGCAACACCGTGCAATAAAGGGTTAATCCTCCCTTGGAACTTGCTCCCCTATAGCTTGTCCAGTAAAATAAATGGTGCCTCATAGCAGTACGCAACAGCAGCATGCAGCCATGGAAATGTTGCCATGGTGACCGCATCGCTGGCAATTATCACTGTAAAAATTTAGCTGTATCTACTCTTTATTTAAGGTATGAAAGAGGACTTTTAAGTCATCAAAAAAAAAAATCTGCTGTTGCTCCACTGTCACTGACATTCTACCATCATAAATACAGCACTATCTAAACACTTTAGCATGAATTAGTAGAGAAATAAAGACCATTTTATTGTGACATAAAAAAATCAAACACTTTAAAAAACATTAAAACCAAATTCCAAAACATTTAAGGAATTTTACACATTTTAAGGCTTTCATTTTCATTTTAAAACATTTTCTTTCCTGCCAAAATTCAAAAACCTGTTTTTATATCAAAAACAGAAGAGCTGCAATTTTGATAACAATCTACATCATCAATGTTGTGCTAAGTTTTAAGTGGGGAAATTTAACCCGATAACACACAGCTTGAACTGCCTATAAATGAGTTAGACCAATCAGAAGCAACCAAACATATAAGTGCTGTGACATCACAACCACAACTAACTGGCAGTCTATTCAGTGCTCAGGTCTCAAACCAGAAAGAGTGGATATGCTGGTGTTCTTGGCCAAAAAACAGGCCTCAGACACAATATCGGTCAGAAAAAAATAGATATTTTGCCCAAATTATCCTGCCCCAGCTTTGCGTGTCATCAACTCAGCAAGGAATACAGGAAAATACTGTATCCTATTGTGTCCCTTAATAAGCCTTGTGTGTCCTCAATTCCATGGCTGTGTATTTATGCCAACCATCAAAATCTACAGAGATTAGAAACACAAGCCATTAACGCGAAGGACGTTCTCCTTCACACTCCACCACTCAGCACTGTGGTACGGACAAAGCAGTGATTCTCAACCTGTGCTGTGTGTAGCGCCCCCAAGTGGTAGCCCCAACATCCATCCATCCATCCATCATCTAAACCGCTTATCCTTCTGGGTCGCGGTGGGGTGCTGGAGCCTATCCCAGCTGTCATTGGGCGGAAGGCAGGATACACCCTGGACGGGTCGCCAGTCCATCACAGGGCAGACAGACAGACATACACATTCACACCTAGGGGCAATTTAGCATGTCCAATCGGCCTGACTGCATGTCTTTGGACTGTGGGAGGAAACCGGAGTACCCGGAGGAAACCCACGCAGACACGGGGAGAACAGGCAAACTCCGGTAGCCCCAACATGACCCTTAAAATCTATGTACACTGGAAAATCGGGAGTTACAGAATGGTTGATTAAAACCTGTGCAAATTCTTCAAATGCGTTTTCATATCTTAAGTTTTACCAAGTTTGATTTTTCCAATACAAAGCTTGGCTTAAGGACTTATTTTCATCAATATCGTGCATGCTAACACTCTCACTCTCGAGCTTTCAGAGAGCTTAGCTGCACATTCACCAAAGAAATGTAATACCTGGCTAAAGTCAAGTATTATAGGAAAAAAAACAGACATCTAAGTAAACAGACTGTAATACACTACAGGAAGCGTAGGGGGCAATATAGGCTCTCTGCATTAAGCTACCGCTCAATGGATGTTCATGAATATCAACACTACAATTTAGGAAAAACAAAAGCTTGTTCAAAGGTGCAGTGTGTAAGATTTAGTGGCATCTAGTGGTGAGGTTGCAGATTGCAACCAGCTGAATCCTTCTCCCTCACCCCTCCCTTTCCAAGCGTGCAGTAGAACCTACGGTGGCCATCGGGTAACATTTTGTGTTGCTTTTTTTCTGTAACCAGTTACGAATGACACATTGATTTAACTCATTTAACAAAGAGAACACTATGACACAATAGTGTTAAAATGGGTAACACAAGTTCTTTAACACATTATTTTTAAAGTGTATTAATCCAATTATTTGTGCTCAACATTTCACACACAGTGCTGCACTAAATCCACAGGACTAATTAAGCTCTTTTAAATCAAACAAGCGGTCGGGGAGTGATTTTAAACACTGACGATATCCACAATATTCCCAGAAAAGCACACTGTGGCATATTATAATAGAATTTATCACAATAATGATGAATATTGTCATATCGCCCAGCTCTACGGTGGCGTGTTCACCATTACAGTGATCTTTGCAGCCCTAGGGCTACAGAGGAAATCGCTGTTCACACATCTGGGAACAGCAGTTTCAGGAGAGTGAAAACATAAAAAAATACATAAAAAACACAAAGCGATTCCACCTTGAGCTGGAGAGAAGCTCCTGAGGGTCCGGTGCCACACTAACACAGATATTATTATTACCATCGAGGTGTGTTCTTCCCCCGGAGACGCACGCAGCCCAAATTACATCCAAAAGGCCTCAATTTCACCGAATCCCAGGACTCCGAACAGACAGCACCTTCCCACATCACAGAGAGGAACCTGAGTGTTTCTGGTGCAGATGAGACGATGGGGCTGGAGAAAGCTCACCATGTTTATAACGCAAAAAAATAATAATAAATATAAAAAGAATAGTGCTCTACAATGCCGATTTAATCCACACAGTCACTCTGACAGACTGTAATACACTACAGGAAGTGTAGGGGGCGATATGGCTTCTACTGTTTCATTTAAAAAGCTCTATAATGTTCATATGATCCACACAGTCACTCTGACAGACTGTAATACACTACAGGAAGTGTAGGGGGCGATATGGCTTCTACTGTTTCATTTAAACAGCTCTATAATGTTCATACGATCCACACAGTCACTCTGACAGATGGATCATGAAAAGAAATCATTTGTTGCACAGAAATTTCAGCTGTATCGGTCATGGAAAGTAGCAGCAGTTTAGTGTGCGGTATTTAATTAGTAAAGTGGCAGCCCTGGCAGCGCTGGGCATCGTGGGGCAGCGGCCCAGTGAAGGATCAGGTGACGGAGTCCAACAGAAACAGGATGACAGGAACAGTGTGGAGCTACACGCACTCCACTTAAAACACCAGAGAAACCTGCCAGCTGTGCTCTCACAGCCCTCTGCCACCACATACTCAATAATGCATCAAAGACAGGGAGAGGAAACGGATAGACTGTACAGATAACATAATAGACATGGATCAATTAGAGCCTGACTGATATATTTCAGATGGTCGATCATATCAGGTAAAATTGACCAGCTACATTTCCGTTAGTGTAGCACAGTCTGTAAGAGTGGCTGTGATGCAGGGCTGAAAGATGAATCATATGTATGATAAAATCGCAGTTTTAAAGTGTGCAGTGTTCAAATCACAACAGCCACAGTTTTAATTATAGCCCACATTATCAACGATAATGTTTTAGTAAGTTTAAAGTGGGGAAATTTAACCCAGTAACACGGATCTTGAACTGCGTGTAGATGAGTTAGATGAACCAGAAGCAGTGTGCTTTGTACATGATAACTAACTGGTGCAGCATTCAAGCCTGAAGCCAAAAAACTGGATATGCTGGTCTTCATGGTCAGAAAGTAATCGCAATTTAAATCACAGCCATTAGTTATTTACCCCAAATCATTCAACCCTTCAATGTCGATCACATCAACATTATAGAGCTTTTTAAATCAAACAGTAGAAGCCATATCGCCCTCCTACACTCCTGTAGTGTATTACAGTCTGTCAGAGTGACTGTGTGGATCATATGAACATTATAGAGCTTTTTAAATGAAACAGTTGAAGCCATATCGCCCCCTACACTTCCTGTAGTGTATTACAGTCTGTCAGAGTGACTGTGTGGATCATATTAACATTATAGAGCTTTTTAAATGAAACAGTTGAAGCCATATCGCCCCCTACACTTCCTGTAGTGTATTACAGTCTGTCAGAGTGACTGTGTGGATCATATGAACATTATAGAGGCTTTTTAAATGAAACAGCAGAAGCCATAAAAGTCCAATCAGAGAAGGATAAACATATCCAGCCAACAGCAAACAAAAACGGACCAATCACAGTAAAGGTCTGACACACTGACCAACCGAGGCTTATAAAATCTATAAAAAGGCCAATCACAGCAAAGCGCTCAGATGAAAGAGTCCCGTCAAAGCGCAGCACTCACAGCAAAGACCACCGGGCCAATCAAAGACATCACAAGCACATCTCAGAGCTAAATACAGCTTCTCCAGGGAAACGGCTATACAGAGAGAGAGACAGAGAGAGAGAGAGAGAGAGAGAGAGAGAGAGAGAGAGAGAGAGAGCAAGCAAGAGAGAGAGAGAGAGAGAGAGAGAGAAAGAGAGAGAGAGAGAAAGAGAGAGAGACAGAGAGAGAGAGAGAGAGAGAGACAGACAGACAGACAGACAGACAGACAGAGAGAGAGAGAGAGAGAGAGAGAGAGAGAGAGAGAGAGAGAGAGAGGTGAAATCTAGCTTCCTGCTGAGTGCAGTTCGAACCATAATCTGACACATCTCAACTTCTTCAGAAGGCCTTGACTGGCTGATCAGATGCATTAGGCCTTTAACAGACTCAAGGCAAGTATACATACACCAGTGCACTGTAAACACTCAGTCCTGAAGGGGGTGCTAGAGGACATATCAGAGAGGATCTACTGTTATTGCAACAACCTCAGCAGCTAAACATGGACTGTAGTGGCTGTGATGCAGGGCTGAAAGATCAATCATATAGGAGAATGAGCTGCTTTACCTCTTCTGCTGGAATTAGAGGCCATAATGGAAGAAAACCTCGTATCTCCAAAACGGTAACTTAACAGGAGAAGGAAAAAACCTACTTTACTGTTAATGCAGGTCAATGGAACCAGACTTTTCTGGCAGTTTCTTTTACTCCATTCATCATGAAATGTACACACAATGTAAAGGGCAACAGGTATTTTCAAATCATGTCCAAAACTGAAAAACATCAAAAACAGAGACACAAGGTTTTCTTCCGACAGCAGCGATGTGTTTATGTAAGCCAGGTGACCATTTAAGCATGACCACTGACCACTGAAGAACAGGGTAAAAGGGGGCCAACAAAGTATCAGAGAAACAGATGGACTACAGTCTGTAACTGTAGAACTACAAAGTGCACCTATATAGTAAGTGGAGCTGATAAAATGGACAATGAGTGTAAAATGTCACTATTAACATAACCATGAATAAAGAGTTCTACGCATCGTGATATGGTTCCTCAGATTGATGGAGAACGTGTTCAAGGTGTTCTACTGTAGTTACGATGTCAAGCTTGAAACAATATATGACAATATTTTGTTGATTATATATAACCGCTTTCAAAAAGGTTCTGTACAGAACCATTTACAGCACATTCTATACCAATCTAAATAACGTTTTCATGACACAAAGAACCGTTTAGTCATGCAAATGGATCTTTGAGTGTTCATGGTTCTATACAGAACCACTTTCTTTCCTCCATCAGCACATTTTAACAACACTGCAATAACACTGATGACCGTGATTCAGGTCACCATGATATTACATTTTTCATATTATTTAATCTCTAGTTTGATCTGAACATCAACATAGAACCACATAAACGTCTCTTATTTCTCCCTGACTTCAAACAATGCGCTGTAACAAACAGCCAAACAGTGACACTACTTAAAAGCGGGTCTGTAACGGTTAAGCTGGGTAATCAATAATCAGTGCATCTCCAGAACTGGCAGCAGTCAGGGCAGACAGAACATAGAGCAGAGTGGAGAACAGTCTCCAGCGCCTCCCAGTGGTCACTAATAAGTAAAGAGAGCTGAATATACCAGCCTTACAGTGACCTCTAGTGTCTGACAGCAGCACTGCAGCACTTACAGGCAAAATGAGCAGCAGAAACACTAAAAACTAAACCAATGTTCTTTAATTAAGAGATAAGAGACTAATTTAATTATAACTCCAGAACAGACATATATGGTTCTAAACGTTTGCAGCAATACATAATAACTGGCTCATATCCCACTCTTAAAAAAGATGGTTCTCCAAGGGTTCTTTACAGCACCAAATGGCTTCTGCTATTGTGACGATATCAAGCTTGTAAGAGTAGAACACTTTTAAGTGCTACATAGAACCATCTACAGCACATTTTCTATCAATCAGAAGAACTACGATGCTATGTAGAACCATTTTGTTTACTAAAGTTCTTCAAGGGTTCTTTAGTAAAGAAAGTACTTTTATGTAGAACCATAAACACTCAAAGAACCCTTTGCACGCTTAAATGGTTCTCCGCTTGGTAATACAGTTCTTTAGATTGATGGCAAATGTGTTGTATATGGTTCCATATAGCACCAAAAAGGGTTCTACTGTGGTTACTTTGTCAAGCTTGTAACAATAGAAGAACCCATTTTGGTGCTATACAGAACTATATACAACACGTTTTCCACCAATCTGAAGAACTATTTGACATTGCAAAGAACTCTTTAATCATGCAAAGGGTTCTCTGAGTGTTGATGGTTCTATACAGAACCATTGCCTGTATAAGCAAAGCCTTGAAGAACTTAAAAAAAAAAAAGAACATTTTTCTCTGTCCTCAAAAAAGAAAATGGTTCTATATAGAACCATGAACACTCAAAGAATCCTTTACATTATTAAAAGGTTCTTTGCATCCTGAAAGCGTTCTTCAGATTAACAGAGAATGTGCTGTAGATGGTCCTATACAGAACCTTTTTGAAAAGGGTTCTATCTAGCACCAAAAAGGTTTCTTCTATTGTTACAAGCTTGACATAGTAACAACAGAGGAACATTTTTTGGTGCTAGATAGAACCATTTTCTTCACAAAAGAACCATCTATTTTAAGAGTGTACCGGATGGAAATACACACATTATTTGGAAAATTAATATTATATTATTATTAATATTTATGAGAATAAAACCAAATCAGTGCTTTCACAGTGCAGAAAGTTTTAAGATGACTGTGATCTGAACATGTTTGATCATCGGGCCCTGCAGAAAAGTATTCACCGCCACCGTGTGGACAAATTATAAACTGCAGATTTTTACAGGTACTAATTCAGCCCTTCAGACTACCTAATGTAATTTTAAAGGGGAATTCAAACACATTTTCAAATTTCCAACATAATTAACCTTTTAAGCTGTAATCAGAGTGGTTCAGAGTGAAACACTGTTCTAGATAAACTTACTGAGTCAGAACTGTTCACAGTGGTGGTGATGGGAACCAGACGTCCACCTCTAAAAGCTCCCTCACAGAAAGTTCCTACATGAAATGGTTATGAATTCACTGCCTGATGACTGAGACACTGTTTTATGATAGTGCACTCATTAGTGCAGTGGGTGAAGTACAGTAGTGTGTGGTTTGGGACGCGGCGTTAGATCAGCCAGTGAGACGCGTTCAACAGCTGCTCTGCTGTGCTGCTCGTTAAACACCTCCAAGAGAAAGTTTGAGGGGTTTGTTGATTAAGGAGCTTTAATTGAGGTAAACTAATACATAACACAACAAATGTATTGAGGTGAATTAAAACATGTAAGGTAAATTAAAAAATTTATTGAGGTAAATTAACGCATTTATTATGGTATATTGATGCATTTATTGAGGTGTATTAATACATTTATTGAGATAAACTGATGCATTTATTGAGGTATATTGAGGCATATTAATGAATATATTGAGGCATATTAATACATTTATTGAGGCATATTGATGCATTTATTGAGTTAATTTAATACATTTATTGAGCTGAATTAATACATTTTTTTAGGTAAATTAATGTATTTATTAAGCTGATGTTGCTTCGTATTCACCAACTTTCGTAATTCATTCTTCGTGTAAGGCGCCTCAGTGTAACTGCAGCTCCTTTTAAGGTGGAACAGAAAATCCAAATGAGAAGCTGGTCAATAAGAAGCTTTTATTTTATTTTCTTATTTTCTTATTTATTTTCTTTTTTATTCTTTTGATCCTTCCTAAACTGCTTTCCTGTAAAGCTGCTTTGAGACAACACTAGCAGTAAAAAGCGCTATAGAAATAAATGTTGTTGTTCAGCTTTATATTGTATGAGTTTATTCTTTAATCTTTTCAGTTTTGGTCCACTTTTATTAGTTTTTATAAAATCTCTCACACTGGAATGTTCTGAACTCTGGAGATGTGCAGGTTATACGGATCCACCAATCAGCTGATCTCCTCGTAGTGTTTTCTGGAGACTGAATTTAAAGCATCTACATATCTGTTCATGTGTTTGTGGTCATTCTGGTCTGTGTTGTTGGTGTTTATCCTCCTGCAGGGCTGTATCTGCAGTAACGGTGGTGAGACGAGCTCCATCAGAGCACAGTCAGAGCTACAGCTCACCCACCAACATGGAGACGGGGTCTTCTTAATGATGTAATACAGTAATATGACTGTATATGAATGGGGGTTCTCATCACTGGTTGGATCTCTCTCACCTTCCTCTGCTCTTTCTTCAGCACGTGTTTGTCGCTCTCCTGCCACAGTGCGTCCTCCAGCTCCTGCTGTTTTCGGGCATCAGCGGCAGCTTTGGCCTCCGCCTTCCGCACCCTGGCAGCCGCAGACTTGGAGTTCTCACCCTGGAACTTCTTAGGCATCCCTGGGCCTAACCTGCAGCACACACACACATTAAAGGGACACTCCAGCGTTTTTCATCCTGATCTCTAATGCTCTGTTCTAGATAAACTTACCGAGTCAGAACTGTTCACAGTGGTGGTGATAGGAACCAGACGTCCACCTCTAAAAGCTCCCTCACAGAAAGTTCCTACATGAAATGGTTATGAATTCACTGCCTGATGACTGAGACACTGTTTTATGATAGTTTAGAGAACTTAAACTCCATTCATGGTGGAGGGATACATGCAGGGCGCTGTGAGGCAAAATAGTCCCCAAAGAAAACTTATTATTTCAGGTTTTCCACTATTTTCCATCATCAACATTCCATATAACCTCAGAAGACTCGTGTAGGTTCACTGGTGGTTCTGGATAGTAAATAAAATGTCTATATCTGTGTTGTAGTCATGGCGACCCCTGGTTCCTATCACCACCACTGTAAAGACATCTGAACCATTTCATACCAAACCACTCGGAATCACTTGATTACATCTCACACACTGCATTATGGAGGGAAACTCCCACTTAGATGCATCAGTGCATACATTTATACTGAGCACTATACAGACTGCTGCTCTGGAACTGCTGAGCATATCTATGGAGATCACATAAAGCTCATTTAAAGTTCTTATCTTATCTCTCTGGGTGGGTGAGGGTAAGGATGCGACACGGCAGGCTGTTTTCTATACGTTTAACTACCCATTTTTAAATGGAAAGCTTATAAAAGTCCACAAGGAAATGTAAAAAGCAGGCTAACGCCACTGCTTAGCGCTCAGGAACCCGTCTGGCTGTTTAAACAGTGATATGTATTCCTTACTTTTGTGAAGGCGACGTTTGAGACGCCTGAAGCTGGACAAAAATTAAAAGTAAAGACTCCGCAGCAGGTTAGCGACGTTTCTCACGTGGATCCTTAACGCACCTCTTGCCAGTAAAGGTAAGCGTGGACCGCCGGTCAAGAGACGATATGGAAAAAATAACATCATGACATCATGAAGACGTTTTATACAGATTTTTTTGGCCAAGTGCACTTTGTCTCTGGGTTTCAGTGCCCATAAACGGTGCTCAGTGAGGTGTAATCAGAGTGATTCAGGGTGGTTTGGTGTGAAATGGTTCAGATGTCTTTACAGTGGTGGTGATAGGAACCAGGGGTCGCCATGACTACAACACAGATATAGACATTTTATTTACTATCCAGAACCACCAGTGAACCTACACGAGTCTTCTGAGTTTATATGGAGTTTATATGTTGATGATGGAAAATAGTGGAAAATCTGAAAGTTTTCTTTGGGGACTATTTTGACCAAAATCTTCTGAAAACTATCCGTGAGGGAGCTTTTAGAGGTGGACCTCTACACAAATGACCACAAAAACTTCCAGGATCCAAAAGACGTAACTCTCCTAAAGAGAAGCTGGTTTGGCAGCTACTGAGCGCTGGATATCAGGTGAAGAGAGGAGAGCTGAAGGGTTCTGACTCAGACAGTCTCAGATTCACGTTCACTGTGTTTAGTCTCAGAGTGACGCTGTAAACTGTTGGGTTTTAAAGCTTCATTTGTAAACAACCCAGAACTACAGCTGCCGTTTGGTCTGATGTTCAGTTTCACCCGATTTGGGACCTGACGATGGTTTTTCTCGAGATTCTAAGTGCTTTAGTCCGAGGAATGATGCCGTTCTGACTCTGAGGTCTGAGGATGTCCTAAAAATGTACCCGGTAGTGCCGCCTAGTGCTAAATAACATATATTTGCATGTCGGTCAGTTTGAAAATGAAAAAGCAAAGTGTGAAATGAACATGCCTTTTCATTCTGACACTTAAAGCGCGTCGATGCCGAAAACTGAATCACAAACTGTAACTTTACTGTTGATTTATCCATTTTCCTTTTGTCAGATATGCAGCCGATTGCTATGAAAAAAAAAAAAAGAACGTGAATACTGTTTTTTGATTTTAGTTTTGACACGTATTCTGCATTTCATGAAGAAAAGCCAAAGCGAAGCTTGGATTTTCTTTTCTCTATTAGCTTTTCCATTTTAGATACGGCCATGAAAACCCAGAATAACAACTAAAATGAAATGAAATAGCTGTTTTACATTTATTTTTATTTTTGTCACAAATTACTCGTTCTTATGTGAATAATGAAACTGCAAATGTAGGTATTTCATTTCAATTTTGGCAGGATATTTGCACAGATGTTTGGAAAAAGAAATCGTAAAAAGAGGTTTGTGTTTACATTTTACCGTTTTAATTTTAATTCCTTTTTTGGCCGGATTTGCTTCCCATACAGCTACTCGTTATCAGTTCTCACACAGGTGAAGCCCAGCCATGCACACAGCCCAGAGGAGCTCAATGTTGCACAATCAGTGTCATTTTCTTTCAGTTTCAGAAAAACATTGTTAATTTTTTATGTAAACGTTTATCTTCAGATGACTGTTTTAATGTTTTTTAACGTTAAGCGTTTATAAACAGTCTCCACAGCCAAAAGCTGCTGCCAGAGCTGGTAAACAGCTTCTGATGTATTTTTCAGAAAGGCAGGCGAAGCAGGGTGAAGGTCGTGACCTTTAAAGAGGAATCCTCACTGTCGCTGTGGACAGAACTGCAGGCTACTGCATTCTCTGCATACCAGTGAAGGAATGTCAGGCAAACTGAACACCAGGACATTTCACATCTCATTTTCCTACTACTGAACGATTAACCGCTTCTATATTGAAAATCACACAAAAAAAGGGAGAATTTTCAAATCGCAAGAGCTGCAATTTTTTATATTACAGTCATCATCATCAACAACGTTGTCTCAAGTTTTAAGAGGGGAAATTTAACCTAATAACACAGAGCTTGTGAACTGAGTTAGACCAATCAGAGGCAGCCAAAGCCCCATGTGTTGTGACATCATCACCACAGCTCACTCCACTCAGGCGTCAAACCTCAATCTAGAAAAAGTGGATATTCTGGTTTTATTGGCCAAAAAAACAGGCCTGAACTTTAATTTATAGAAAATAATTGCAACTGAAATCACACTCACAATATTACTCAGAAAAATCATAATTAGATATTTTTCCCAAATCGATTAGCTCTCGCTACCAGCTCTAATGCGGTTCAGTGTTGGTCAGGTCTGGCAGGTGCGGAAAAGCACAGTAAAAGGGCCTTTCAGGCAAATCAGATATTCCGATTTGTACGGTATTTTTATGTCACTGCTAACAGAACAAAACCTGTATATCCAAAACTGTAACTTTACAGAAGAAGACGTTCTTAATTTTGAATGGAGGTTAATGGAATAAGATCCCTATGGTCTATTCATCATGAACTTTTAAATAAATAAATAAAAATAAAAATGAAGCTACTTGGTTTGTTTTCCGGCAGCAGTGATATAGTTTTAATCGTCTGTTTTCACCTCAGCTAACGGTATTACACACGTTAAAAAAAAAAAACAAGCGCTCTTTAGTAGTCTATTTAGAACCATGAGTTACAATGTTAATCCTGTAACAAAAGAGTGTTTTTAGTGCTATATAGAACCATTTTCAAAACGTTTCATCAATCTATAGAATCATTTCACAATGCAAAGAACCATTTAAGCATGCAAAAGGTTCTTTAAATGTTCATATGTCTAAATAAAACCATTCCCTTTACTAAAGAACTCTTGGGAAAAAAAAAGCGGTTAAAAGTTTTCACAGCAGAACCACTTAAAGAACCAAATTAGATACATTTGTAAGACATTATTATCTACACCAATCCAGGATAACATTCTGACCACCTCCTTGTTTCTATGCTCATTGTCCATTTTATCAGCTCCACTTACTATATAGGTGCACTTTGTAGTTCTACAGTTACAGACTGTAGTCCATCTGTTTCTCTGATACTTTGTTACCCTGTTCTTCAGTGGTCAGGACCCCCATGGACCCTCACAAAGCAGGTACTACTTGGGTGGTGGGTCATTCTCAGCACTGCAGTAACGCTGACGTGGTGGTGGTGTGTTAGTGTGTGTTGTGCTGGTACGAGTGGATCAGACACAGCAGTGCTGCTGGAGTTTTTAAACACTGTGTCCACTCACTGTCCACTCTTTTAGACACTCCTACCATGTCAGTCCACCTTGTAGATGTAAAGTCAGAGACGATAGCTCATCTGCTGCTGCACAGTTTGTGTTGGTCATCCTCTAGTCCTTCATCAGTGGTCACAGGACGCTGCCCACAGGCCGCTGTTGGCTGGATATTTTTGGTTGGTGGACTATTCTCAGTCCAGCAGTGACACTGAGGTGTTTAAAAACTCCAGCAGCACTGCTGTGTCTGATCCACTCAGACGAGCACAACACACACTAACACACCACCACCACGTCAGTGTTACTGCAGTGCTGAGAATGACCCACCACCCAAGTAGTACCTGCTTTGTGAGGGTCCATGGGGGTCCTGACCACTGAAGAACAGGGTATCAAAGTATCAGAGAAACAGATGGACTACAGTCTGGAACTGCAGAACTACAAAGTGCACCCATACGATGTTTTGCACCATCATGCATTTAAAATCAGAACATCTGACTATCTCACTAACAAATAAGGGGAAAAAAATCTAATTTGAGTTCTGATCTTATCTGAGCCCTAGTGATCAGATGTGGAGGTCAGTTCTGGGGTGCTAATGTCTTTGAAGTCCTCTGACCAAAGGCCACTGATCAATAATGCACAGCCTACATCTTCAGGACAAAGGTTTTACGCCACTGCAGAGGCCCTGAGAGCAGAGTGGCCATGGGATTTACAGATATCTGAGCTTAAAGAACAAAACACGTTCTGTGGCTCCGTCTAACGCGAGCTAATCACCGCCGAGCGACGACTGCATGTTCCCAAACACAGCAGCGGCTAATCAGCCACGGCCAGCGACTCCTCTGGATGCTGTTTACAAACAGAGGCCATGAGTTTACTGGAAAAACAGCCTGTGAGTCTCATATATACACTAATCTTACTCATATTTATCTGAACTGCTGAATTCCTGTAAGGTATCTGTGACATATTGTCCCTTAAATGTAACAGCAGGTTTCCCGAGACTGATTATGCAGAAGTCTGGACTAAAAGGGACTTTCAGAGGTGATTTACTGCTGTTATTGCTGTCTAGTTACAGACTAAACTGGCCGTATGTGTTTGACGGTTAAAAAGTAAGAAGCTCCAAAGAACCTAAGATTGTCTATTTTGCTACTGTGGGCATTTACGCTGCTCTGGCGTGTCGACGGACATGAACACATCCTCTCCTGTCAGTTGGCCGCATGTGGGTGTTATGAGGGAGTTTCCTGTGAAATCCAATTGAAACTTAGTCTTGCCAAGCCAATATTTATGTAAGTAATGCTTCTTTTTTTTTAAATAATCAGAACGTCAACATCGTAGGCACCATTCAGCTAATATTTTCCAAAACTAATCTAATCTAAATTAATCTAATCTAAACACAGACTTGCCAAGCCAATATTTATGTAATTAATGCTTCTATTTTTACATAGTAAGCATCATTAAGCTATTATTTTCCAAAACATTAATAAGGTTAGATGGGAAAGATTAGGATTTAAGCGCTCAGCTTGTGAAGGTTGTTAAGCACCTCTGCGAGCTTACATGCTCACACACTTTTTGCGGTTTTGTTTTGCCTGTCGCAGATGCTCCACTACAGCAGGTGGCGCTATGACAGTGTATGATAGGTTTCATGACTGCTGGAAAAATGATTCGTTCACAGTTCTAACTATGGTGACGTGCAAGTCCAGAATGGTGCCACCATTTAAGGTGGAACGTGAAAATTGAAACAAGTAGCTGGTGAATAGGCAGCCGACTTCAGCCTCGTCCTCTCGTGAACCTAAATATAAGATAACCTGCATGTTTTGGTGCTTAGTGTTAGTTAGTACTACTGAATAACAGACTTGACATCTTACATTTAGGACGTATTCATTGACCATTTAATAAATGCGTGTTTAACAGTGAAAATCTGTGTCTCGGCCACTTCCTGTGAAACAAAGATCCGCAAATCTTTGTTTAATGGCACGCCTCTGTTTACTGACCAATCACAGGCTTTCTTGCGTAGTGTCTTCATCCACGGAGTTCGCCCAGACGTCTGCGGTTGTTCGTTTTATCCACAATTACGTCACGTTGCTTGCTGAAGCCAGGAGAACGTCGTCTCCGCTGAGGCCTTAAGGTCATTCGTTACCACTCGCAGTCAACATCAGTCATTTCCGTTTATTATCATTCAACTGATCGTTTTCTTGCTCTGATTTTCAAAATTTGGAGGTAAATTGTGTTTTATATATATATATATATATATATATATATATACACATACATATACATATATACATATATACATACACATATACAACCTTGTATCTCCATTTTTCTTGTTTTTCAGTTTTTGACAATTTGAAAATGCTTGTGTCTCTTTCGATTGTCTGTAAATTTCAAGTACAGTATGTTTGTTCCTTCTCCTGTAAAGTTGCCATTTTGGAGATACGAGGTTTTCTTCCGACTACAGCGACATATTTAAGCAACAGAACACGAGAGGGAGTGAGTTATCGCGAAGTAACTTCACGGCTGTGATGATCTACGGCACTCGACTTCGGCTGCCTCTCGTACCTTGAGCTGCAGACATGAATCACGCAAACACCAGCTGCCTCCTGATTGGGCAGACGCATCGCGCTGGCCGGATTCTTTCGCAAAAAGTTCAGCTCCACTCAACTTTGACACGTCAGACCCATCATGCACCTGGCAGAATCAACGTTTTCCATGGAAAATGAACGGGACAGCTGTGCGCTGACGTGCCGGAGCAGTGAAAACGCAGCGCAATGCTGGGATCAGAATGCACAATGTTTTCTTTCGCGATGGTCACTGTGTCAGATTATGTGATTATAGCGGGAACAGTGGTGCTGTGACACAAACAGGAAATCTGCCATAGAGCAGACCGTCTCATTTCGGTTCAGCCTTCGTGGGTCTAAGCATCCTTTGAAGGACACGCCTTCATAGACCGCATCCTTCGAAGGGTCCAGCCCCTGAATTGGGATGCACTGTATTTGCGCCGCCGCCATTATTCCACCTCTAGTAGGAACAATTATCTAGGAACCAAAGAGCGAACGCACGGTTTCACAGTGGCGGAGACGCGTACTACACTGTTCAATGCTAAAATTCCTATTGGTGGTCGCCACGTCGCTTTACTCCTTATTTGCATAATGTTAAAATCCGCTGAACTTTGTCGTGTCACTAACTCCGCCCACTTTGCGTCGCCAACATTCGCGCCGCCTCCTGACGCCAGAAATCGCAGCTCTCACTGAAAATAAATGACCTTTTTGTCACGTCGCGACGCTGCCGGTGTGAACGCAGGGTAACGCAGCTGAACGATCCGCTCAGCTCCTGCTCTTCAGGCTCCCGTGTGGAGTCACACTGATTATTATTCAGCCAAACAAAGTCATATTACTACTGTGATGAAAACGAAATGACTCACCAATGGAGGAAAACAGGTGTGTTTGGCAACCACACAGGTTTACCACACTGACCAATCCACAGCTGACAGTTTTAGAGTTTATTTATGGCTTTGGAGACACACAGAAAACAGCGTTCTGCTGTCTGTCATAGTACGGGGCGTATTTTAGGTCCCTCAGGCTCATCTCTCCACCGAAATATGAACATATGTTGCTAAGCAGGGATCAAAGGGCTGAGAAAAATGGGGCGGGGTGTTGAAACGATCCGATTGGCTCAGTCCCTGATGTTGGAGGTCCAGTCGTGCCCTGTCTTTTAGTACGGCACGTATCACTGCTGTCGGACCAAAACCTCCAAAATGGTAACTTTACAGGAGAAAGAAAAAACATACTTTACTTTTAATGTAAGTCAATGGAACCAGACTTTTTTCTGATGATTCTGGGCCATTTCTTTTGGTCCATTCATCATAAAATCAACACACTATGCAAAGAAAAGCAAGCATTTTCAAATTATGTCAAAAAGTGAAAAACGAAAAAAAGAACGGAGATCAGCAGCGACATACTGACGCAGTGTGCAGCACACAGTAGGTTCACTTGAACACAGCCTTTTCTCTTGGAGGTGTTTAACGAGCAGCTAACGAGCAGCACAGCAGAGCAGCTGTTGATCGCGTCTCACTGGCTGATCTAATGCCGCGTCCCAAACCACACACTTCTGTACCTCACCTACTGCACTAATGAGCACACTTCTAATGGGATATGCACTATTATTACACACTATTTAGTGAGCTAGTTTGCGGTTTGGGATGTGGAAATACTAACGTAGCAGGAAATCTCACCTGTTTGAATTTCAGCTTCTACTTACTGCTGCAGTAACAAATGAAATTATAGCAAAACACTGAAGTGTATTGATTAATAAGCCTTAAAAACTTGTTTTAAACTGAGTTTTCCCAAAACAAATTTTTTTTTTACTGCCTTTGCGTGATCAGTTATGGCTTTATTATCTCATAACAAACTGACACTGCACTGCAGAGTGAATTTAACGTTGCCTACAAACATGGAGGCATAACAATAAATCTACAACTACAACTTTTATGCAAGGTTTTACAAACTGAGCTGCACTAAATCCAGTTAAACAGACCTAAATACTTCACTTTATGGTGAAACGTAGTTATTCAGTGTTTACGTACTGATGATATCCACGATATTCTTAGAAAAGCATATTGTGACATAATTTATTGCGATTATGATAAAATATCATAATATTGACCACCCTTAGTGCGCAAGTAGACTCGTAAAAAGGATGGGTCTTTAGTACAGACAAGAGCTCTACACACAACCAAGACCACTCAAAGATCCATTTGCCTGTTTAAATGGTTCTTTGCATGGTGAAAAGGTTATTCAGACTGATGGAGAGTGTGAATATGGTTCTATATAGCACCAAAAAGGTTCTGCTGCAGTTATAAGCTTGAGCCCTTTTTGGTGCTATGTGGAACCACTTTCAAACAGGTATTTTCAAGAACCATATATTCTCAATCTGAGGAGCCATTTAAGCATTGCGCAAAGAGTTTGGGTGTTCTTGGTTCTATATAGAACCACTGTCTTTACTAAAGAACACTTGAAATGTTTTATTTCCAAACTGATTGATGGAGAACGTGTTGTAAATGGTTCTATATAGAACCTTTTTGAAAATAGTTCTGCGAAGCACCAAAAAGGGTTCTTTCTATTGTGTACGCGCCTGAGTAGAACCCTTTTCGGTGCTTTATTGAACCATACACAGCACATTCTCCACCAATCTGAAGAACCATTTCACCACTCAAAGAACCCTTTAAGCATGCAAGTGGTTCTTTGAGTGTTGGTGGTTCTATATAGGACCACTGTCTTTACTAAAGAACCCTTGAAGAACCATCTATTTTAGAGTGATAATATCAGTGAGGAAAGTAGATTATTTTTCCTCAGTTCCATTTTAGTTCCTAATTCCTTTCTGCGTTTAAGTCTTTATTTTTTATTTTTTGGACCAAAAGAATTCAAAATAATAATAATAATAAACGTCCACCATGATATCTGCTGGATGTTCTGAGCGAACAGACAATAAACGAAGCTGAAGTTGACATGCTGTTCGAATTTTCCGTTCCACCTTAAATGGTGCAGCAGTAACACGTAACTGCTGCATCACTTAAGGTGGGACGGATAATTCGAACAAGCCAAGTTCAGCCTCGTACAGGCTACCGATAAAGCCGCCACGAATGATAAAAACAGCGCAACGAATGTGATCATTTCGCTATTTTAACAAACAGAACTTCAGTTTTTGTGTAAACACTCGGATGATTTAGCATCGCTGCTAACGTCACTGTTCGGCTGCCTGGCTGAACACCGAACACTGAGCTCCAGGTTTAGGCGAGTATTTCCTCCAGCGCGCTGTTCTCGGTAGCTGAAGACAGACCGGACTGTCTACAAAATTATATGAGGATTAAAACTTTTATTTTAACCCTAAAACTGTTTTTTTGAGGAACTTTTACCGACCTGTCAGAGCTCCAGCGCTGCTGCTCGCCCTTCTTCTCTGAATGCTGGTGTTGGACTGTTTTAGTCCTCCTGTCGCCACCTGCGGACCGAGTAGTTGAACTGCACTGGCCACTTTATTAGAAACACGTAGCTTGTGCTTCCACTAACTGGCCACTTTATTAGAAACACCTACCTTGTCCTTCCACTAACTGGCCACTTTATTAGAAACACCTACCTTGTGCTTCCGCTCACTGGCCACTTTATTAGAAACACCTACCTTGTGCTTCCGCTCACTGACCACTTTATTAGAAACACCTACCTTGTGCTTCCACTAACTGGCCACTTTATTAGAAACACCTACCTTGTGCTTCCACTCACTGGCCACTTTATTAGAAACACCTACCTTGTGCTTCCACTCACTGGCCACTTTATTAGAAACATAAACCTTGTGCTTTCACTAACTGGCCACTTTATTAGAAACACCTACTGTAAGCTTCCACTAACTGGCCACTTTATTAGAAACACCCAGTTTGTGCTTCCACTAACTGGCCACTTTATTAGAAACACCTACCTTGCGCTTCCACTCACTGGCCACTTTATTAGAAACACCCAGTTTGTGCTTCCACTCACTGGCCACTTTATTAGAAATACTTACCATGTGCTTCTACTCACTGGCCACTTTATTAGAAACACGTAGCTTGTGCTTCCACTAACTGGCCACTTTATTAGAAACACGTAGCTTGTGCTTCCACTAACTGGCCACTTTATTAGAAACACCTACCTTGTCCTTCCACTCACTGGCCACTTTATTAGAAACACCTACCTTGTGCTTCCGCTCACTGGCCACTTTATTAGAAACACCTACCTTGTGCTTCCGCTCACTGGCCACTTTATTAGAAACACCTACCTTGTGCTTCCGCTCACTGACCACTTTATTAGAAACACCTACCTTGTGCTTCCACTAACTGGCCACTTTATTAGAAACACCTACCTTGTGCTTCCACTAACTGGCCACTTTATTAGAAACACCTACCTTGTGCTTCCACTCACTGGCCACTTTATTAGAAACACCTACCTTGTGCTTCCACTCACTGGCCACTTTATTAGAAACACAAACCTTGTGCTTTCACTAACTGGCCACTTTATTAGAAACACCTACTGTAAGCTTCCACTAACTGGCCACTTTATTAGAAACACCCAGTTTGTGCTTCCACTAACTGGCCACTTTATTAGAAACACCCAGTTTGTGCTTCCACTAACTGGCCACTTTATTAGAAATACTTACCATGTGCTTCTACTCACTGGCCACTTTATTAGAAACACGTAGCTTGTGCTTCCACTAACTGGCCACTTTATTAGAAACACCTACCTTGTGCTTCCACTAACTGGCCACTTTATTAGAAACACTTACCATGTGCTTCCACTAACTGGCCACTTTATTAGAAACACCTAGCTTGTGCTTCCACTAACTGGCCACTTTATTAGAAACACTTACCATGTGCTTCTACTCACTGGCCACTTTATTAGAAACACCTACCGTGTGCTTCCACTCACTGGCCACTTTATTAGAAACACCCAGCTTGTTCTTCCATTAACTGGCCACTTTATTAGAAACACCTATATTGTGTTTCCACTCACTGGCCACTTTATTAGAAACACTTAAATGGTTCTATATGGAAACAAACACTCAAAGAACCCTTTACATGATCAAAGTCATGTAAAATCAGTGTGGAATATTAAGAATCATCACATTTTCTGCAGTCCAGCACTTTTTAGTGTTTTGATGAAAAATATGATTTTCTGTGTGAACAGCTGATCAAATCTAGAATGATACTGGCTGCGTTTTTGAGCTCAAAAGCCAGCGAGAATGTTTCTGTTCTAAAAACGTTCTGAGAACATTACACACATGTTCTATTAATGTTTTCAGTGGGAAGTTTTTGTTGTTCCCAGGATGTTCTTCTGGGAATGTTCCCTAAAACCATCATCATGTAACATAATCTGTTGCCCTGACAACAACATTTAAACATCCTCCGAATGTTGCAGTTAAAACGTTATGTTTTAGTTAACATGTAACCTTATGGGGACGTTAATCGAAATGATAAACATCCTTAAAACGTTCTTTGAACATTAGATTTAAAAAGTTTTTTAAACATTATTAGAAGTTGTAGGTAACAGCCAATGTTATAGGAAGGTTCTCTGCTAGCTGGGAATGAGCCACAGCTGTCACAACTGAAACAGTCGCCAATCATAGAAAGCTCCGCCCCCTGTGTTCTCAACTGAGCCTTGTCCTTTAGAAAGAACAGAAAACAGTAAAAAGTGACGGAGCTCCTGAAGCAGCACCAGTGCAGTCAGGTAGATCCACTCCCACCTGAGAGAGCTCTCAACACCCCCCCAGCCAGCCCACCTACAACAAGAGCCAGGTGTGTGTGTGTGTGTGATGTGGACCTCCTCACACTCTCACTGAGAGAACATTCTTCTTTCAGCTGCAGGACGGAGAACATCACGCAGTGTAAACACAGGTAAGATCAACTTCCACAACAACTAAGAGACTCAATACATTTCTAATATTAATATGTTTCTAATATTATTGCTATTAGGTCCAGGAATGGGATGTAATGGAATACAAGTGTTGAGAATATGTATACAGAAATAAAGTATCTGTATTCAGTCCAAGATACATTTAGTGAAGGCCGTATTCAGAATACAGCTACGTTATACACTTTTGCAAGCTAAAAAAAACAATAATCAAAAGAAACACATCAATATTTGTTTGTTAATTATTTTAAAATCAGCACACAGTCTGTACTAAACACGCCTGTATGACTAACTAGACAACTTCAATTAACCCCTTTTTTACAAACTGTAGTTCTTGCTAAAGCCTGAGTAGAATGATAAATCAATGTGATCAGTTATCAAGCTCAGCGTTACTGGACTCTGCTATAGCCTATATGAGGAGTACACGTCTTTAGGGTCTATAAAGAGTATTTGTGTATGTGCCCATAATTATGAACCCTATAAAGAGTTTATGCCACAAGAAGGCCTATAATGAGTATATCCTGTTGCTATAAACCCTATAAGAATTGTATGCCTTTAAGGCCTTTAAGGATTATATGCAACATGGCCCTATGAGGAGCATAAGCCTAAAGCTATAATCCCCATAAGGAATAATTTGCCTTAAAGGCCTATAAGGAGTATATGCTTCAAAGCCCTAAGAAGGAGTATATGCCTTTAAGGCCAATAGGTACCATATGCCTTACAGCCCTATAAGGAGTATTTGCCTTTAAGGCTTCTATAGTGAACATATGACTTCAAGACCTTTAAGCAGTAAATACCTACAGATATAAACAACATAAGAATTATATGCATTTAAGGCCTACAAAGAGTATATGCCTACAGCTGTAAACCTCATAAGAATCACATGCCTCTAAGGCCAATAATGAGTATATAAATTCAAGACCCACAAGGAGTATATGCCTACAGCTAAAAACTCCATAAGTATTATATGCCTTTAAGGCCTTTAAAGAGTATATGTTGCATAGCCCTAAAAAAGGGTGCATGTCTTTGAGGAGTACATGCTGCCTAGCTCTATAAACAGCACATGCCTCTAAGCCTTTTAAGAAGTACATGCTGCATAGCCCTATAAAGAGCACATGCCTTTAAGCCTTTTAAGAAGTACATTCTGCATATACCTATAAAGAGCACATGCCTTTTAGGCTTTTAAGGAGTACATTCTGCATTGACCTATAAAGAGCACATGCCTTTTAGGCCTTTAAGGAGTACATGCTGCATAGCCCTTTAAAGAGCACATGCCTTTAAGGCCTTTAAGGAGTACATGCTGCATAGACCTGTAAAGAGAACATGCCTTTAGGCCTTTAAGGAGTACATGCTACATAGACATATAAAGAGAATGTGCCTTTTAGGCCTTTAAGGAGTACATTCTGCATTGACCTATAAAGAGCACATGCCTTTTAGGCTTTTAAGTAGTACATGCTGCATAGCCCTATAAAGAGCACCGGCCTTTTAGGCCTTTAAGGAGTACATGCTGCATAGCCCTATAAAGAGCACCGGCCTTTTAGGCCTTTAAGGAGTGCATGCTGCATAGCCCTATAAAGAGCACAGGCCTTTAAGGCCTTTAAGGAGTACATGCTGCATAGCCCTATAAAGAGCACATACCTCTTTGATGACGTTCATGGGGGGTCGGATTTTTTTGTAAAGCTGCTTTGTGACAATGTCTGCTGTAAAAAGCACTACATAAACTTGATTTGACTTTACTTGACTATATGCCTACAGCTATAAACCCTATAAAGAGGTGTACGCTAAAAGCCCAATAAGGAGTATATGCTTTTAACGCCTATAAGGAGTAAATGACTTTAATGTCTGTGACAGAGTGTCCAAAGTCCAGCCGTAGGGCCAAACACGGCCCCCGAACAGATTTTAATCGGCCCCTGGCTTCTGTTTTGGAGTGTGTTATTCGTGGCCCTCCAGCCAGTACACTGCACTTCTTCCTCTCACCTGATGGGGGCAGCTGTGCTGTAAGATCACAGTGTAACGCTGCACTGCGGTAACGAAGTAGCTAATGTTTAGGAGCCTTTCTTCTCTGACTGACCTGCAGCTTCATTTACTGACCACATTTAGTCCAGACTGCAGTCCTAAAGCTCAACTAAGAACACTAAGAACCACAGATTTAGAAGGAAATTTGAACTTTTTCATCGAGAGTCGCAGCAAATGAGCCTCATATTTCAAAAAAACTTTAAAATATTTAATATCAACAGACATTAAAGCATGAACAGCATGAACATCACAGTAAATATTCAGGAGAGAAACTAAAGCAGCTGCAGCTCCGAGTCTCACAGCACCGACTTCTTATCACAGCAGATTCAGCAGCTCAGGAAATATTAACTCTTTAAGGAGGAACAATAACGGCTGATTATGCTGATTAATCTGATCTTCTCCTTTAATAAAGTAAAAAAAGAAAAAAAAAGAAAAATATATTGATTATGCCTTTGAGACCTTCAAGGAGTATATGCCTTTAAGGCCTATATAATGTATATGTCTTTAAAGCCTCTAAGGAGTATATGCCTTAAGGCCCTATATGGAGTATATGCCTTTAAGGTCTATAAGCAGTATGGTGTATAGCCCTATAAGGATCATATGCCTATAAGGAGTCTATGCTTTAAGATCTATAAGGAGTGCACACTTTGTAGCCCTATAAGGAGTAAATGCTTTTAAGGCCTATTAGGGAGTATAAGCCTTTAAGGCCTATAAAGAGTAAATGCCTTTAAGGTCTATGAGGAATATTTGCTTTTAAGTCCTATAAGGAGTAGATGCCTTTGAGGCATATGGGGAGTGTGTGCCTTTAAGGCATATGCATTAGCTGCATTAGCTGCATGAGCAGTTTTATTATCTCCTTTTGTCCCCATTTTTATATTATCCTTCAGAATAAAATAACAGTGTGTTTGTGATGAAAAAAGCAGGGGGTTGATAAAGAATGCTCATTCTTATCCAGATCCAAATATCTTGTTTGTACAGGTGGAATCTTCTGGAAAACAAAGAGCCGGACACATTCAGAGCAGTAAAGAGAATCAGGATGAGCAGCAGCAGAGTGGACATCGAGCAGGACAGTCCAGGCTTTGTCCTGTTGGACTATGCTGTTTTTGCAGCCATGCTGGCCGTGTCTGTGGCTATAGGTCTGTTCCAGTCTGTCCATAAAGCCGCCGGACGCTCAGAGGTGGAGGATTTCTTCACGGGCGGGCGGCGGATGCCCGCTGTGCCCGTCGGTATGTCCCTGTGTGCCAGCTTCATGTCAGCAGTGCAGGTGTTGGGTGTCCCGTCTGAAGCGTATCTGTACGGGCTGAAGTTTCTCTACATGTGTTTGGGTCAAGCACTGAACTCTCTGCTGACCGCTCTGGTGTTTCTGCCCGTTTACTACCGGCTGGGCATCACCAGCTCCAACCAGGTGCGTTACCTCGCAGTGACCTTCGGCCACAGTCAAAAGTTTGGGTACAAATTGGTTTCTTTGTTAAGATTATCTAAGATATGTTTGATTTTCATTGTTACTTTTCAGCTAAGCCTTCAATTCAGCAACTACCTTTATAGAATGGTCTAAACCGGGGCAGTGGTGTGTGTGTGGGTGGTAGGCCGCTTGAGGAACCGTCTTTTTTCAGATAGCAGTGTATGAGTTAGTGAGGGCGCCTGTGCTGTGCAGTAAAGCTGTACTACAGTCAACTGCAATGAAAGCAGTGACATCATCATCCTCAGCAGCCGGAGCGGTGATGGAGGAGAGAAGCGTCTGTTTGTCTGAGGTGTGTAAACAGAGTCAGGCGTGCTGAGGATGCTGGGATCATTCCTGCTGTGATGTTCGGGGGAAGATGCTGATTGTGGAGTAATGTGGAGACGAGGAGTGAAACTGTCCTTACAGCTGGAGATCAAAGGCTCCGTGTGTGTGTGTGTGTGTGTGTGTGTGTGTGTGCAGTATCTGAGGATGAGGTTTGGTCGAGGAATGCAGCTGCTCGGGAGTCTGCAGTTTCTAATAGCAACGGTGAGATAAACACATTCACATTCATTCAGTTATTCTCCTGTTTTCAAAAGAAAACAGTGATCGCATTCATTTAGCCAAAACTATAATTCCCTCAGTAACACAAATTTGCTCATTTTAATGCACAATTTCTATTTATTTGCTGACTTTAACATATTGTGAAAAAATAAAACAAATAATAAAATGTGCACAGGCATTTTATTTTCCACCCAATATGTTAAATTCAGCAAATAAACACGAACTGTACTTTACTATGTGCAGAAGTGTGCTCTCTGTAGAAAAATCAACAACATTTTTCACAAACTTTTGCATTCGACTGTAATTCCCACAGGTGCACTCTGTTGAAAGCATGTGGAGGTGTTCAGTACCTCCAATAGTCTTGATTATGTGGTTTCTGACACTGTATGACTCACTGTGATCTATAAACATGAGCTAAATTACATTAGCTTAGATAAATACAGTAGCATTGTCTATGTTTGTATATAAACTGTCTATGTTTGTAGATAACATTTCATTAAATATACACTACATGGCCAAAAGTATGTGGACGCCCCTTCAAACATGGCACTGTCATATGATGTCACTTTTGCCTAGCAGGATGCCAATTTCTGTCCTGCTAGATTTGCCCCACTCAACCATATGTGCTATTATTGTGAAATGGAAGCATCTAGAAGCAACAACAGCTCAGCCACGAAGTGACAGACCAAACAAACTCACACAGCACGGCTGCTGAGTGCTGAAGCGCACAGTGCCTATTCTGTGTTGAATCATCACTACAGAGTTCCAAACTGCCTCTGGAAGCAATATTAGCACAAGAACTGAGCATCAGGAGCTTCATGAAATGGGTCTCCACAGCCGAGCAGCTGCACACAAGCCTAAGATCACCATGTGCAATGCCAAGCGTCGGCTGGAGGGGTGTCAAGCGCCGCCACTGGACTCTGGAGCAGTGGAAACGTGTTCTCTGGAGTGATGAATCAGCTTCTCTATCTGTCAGTCTGATGAATCTGGGTTTGGTGGATGTCAGGAGAACTTTACCTACCAGAATGCACAGTACCAACAGTAGAGTTTGGTGGAGGAGGGATGATGGGCGGGGCTGTTTTTCAGGCCCCTTAGTTCTAGTGAAGGGTGATGTTAATGCAACAGCACATTTTACACGTCCATAGAGCTCCATAAAGACATGGTGTGACCAGCTTGGTGTGGAGGAACTGCAGTGACCTGCACAGAGCCCTGACCTCAACCCCACTGAACACCTTTGGGATGAACTAGAACGGAGATTGTGAGCCAGACCCTCTCGTCCAACATCAGTGTATGACCTCACAAATGCTCTTTAGACTGAATGGACACAAATTCCCACAGAGACTCTCCAAAATACTGTTGAAAGCTTCCCAGAAGAGTGGAAGCTGTTGTAGCTGCAAAGGAGGACCAACTCCATATTAATGCCTATGGATTTAGACTGGGACGTCCAACAATCTCATATAGGTGTGATGGTCAGGTGTCCACATACTTTATATGACCATATAGTGTATTTGTGTACATTTGATTAAACATGTGTAAATCACTTTAATATCTCTGTGTTTTCTCTCTCTGTCCTCCTGCAGCTCCTCTACACCGGAATCGTTATTCTAGCACCTGCTCTAATTTTAAACCAGGGTAAGGAACGTTCTGGCATTGTAACATATTGGAATTTTTAAAGACAGTGTGGAACGTTCAGCATTCAGCATTCAAACATTGGAAAAAAGTTATGTTACTGTCTTCTTGGTGAAAAAAATCAAAGACCTCAGATTTAATTTATAGAAATAATCACGTTGAAGTTGCAATTGCAATATTGCAATAAAAATCATAGTTACAAAGTTATCGCAATAAAAATCATAGATATGTAAAAAAAAAAAAAAACTGACAGAGAAAAAAGTATTCAGACACTATATTTAAATTTATTTTATAAGTGTAAAAATAAAAATAAATCAAGGTTTACATATCATTGCTGTCCAAAGAAAAACAAGTATCTCAAGTATGTCCAAAATGGTAAGTTTACAGGAGACGGCAAAAACCTACTGTGCCTTAATGTAAGTCACTGAGTGTGTTTATATGCATTTAATAATCCGATAACTGCAGAAAATCAGATTTTGTCAGTAATCCGATCAACACGTTTACAAGCACTTGAGTAATCAGATAACGGGAAACTCCAGGTCTACATGAATCAGACAGTAATCAGATTTCCGCTTTACAACCAGCCAATAAACTCACAGAAGAAGACGTGATGTTAATGTAAAACTCAAACTTCATGCTGAGGCTTTTTTTTTAAAACATTGCGCCACTTTACCTGACAATATGAACAAACATCATCTAGAAGATGAAGAATATTTAAATCCTTCATTTCGTCAACCATCTATTTGGTTTCAGCGTCGCTCCAAAAGTGTTTTGCTGCATTCCGCGGCGGCGCTGCTCGCTTATTTCCGGTACCGTCTGTTTTCACACATGCTCAGACTGAGAAATCTGAAAGAAATCAGAGTCAGAGTTTACAGCACTTAGAGACCTGATTACTGAGCTCAAATCCAGCCTCTTTATCTGATTTCTAGACCTTAATCTGATCTAAGAAATCACAGTGTGCTTTTTACAGAACCGGTTGAATAATCAGATAACTGCAGAAATCTGATTATGATCGGATTATTGAGTGCATGTAAACTCACTTAGTGTAAGGAGATTTTATTCCAAGTAGTTTTGGAGCATTCCTATTGGTCCTATTGGACAGCGATGATAATAATGCTGCAAAAATAAAAATAAAAGGTAGCACTCTGCTGAAGGTGAAGGAGCTTCCTAGAGTTATTAAAACAATATCAAAAACCCTCTAATAGAAAAAACACAGAGCCCTGAAACATCTCAGAGCTGTTTTGGAGCACTGGGCCTCGTTCTCCAACATCCTCGTCAGTTTGTTCTTAGGTGTGTTCTTGATAAACGTCCTAAGAAAAAGTCTCCGTCAGATTCATGACGTGTTCTTAAAGCGCAGAACTGTTCTCACCTTTGTGCTCTTGAGTGTGTGTAGATTCTGTTCTTACCTAAGAACAAACCCCACATAAGAGAGCATTGGTGAGTCAGAGTCTTCATCAAAACGGCTTAAGTGGGTTTAAGAAGTTTCTTCTTAAGGACGGGTGGTGAACGAGGCTCAGTGTCCTCTCTTTGTTTAAGCTTATAGATGTATAATTTTTGTAGAAGAAGAAAGTCAAAAGACGTAATGTGGGTACAGTTAAAGTGGATATATGCGCCGGATGTTCATTAAATAAAAACATTTCTGTTTAAAATGTGGGTTGGTTGAAAAAGTGTGTGTGTGTTTGTAAGTGTGTGTTTGTGTGTTTGTGTGTTCAGCTACAGGTTTGAATATGTGGGCGTCTCTTTTCTCCACCGGCTTTATCTGCACCTTCTACACCACTCTGGTGAGAAAAACTGTTTGTCTGACTGTCTGTCTCTCTATTTGTCTACATGAGCCCTATTGGAGCTGGATTAGTTTTATCAGAGGAGGTCCGGTACTGTAAAAAGTGTGTGATTTGATTGGCTGGTTCGTACTAATACTGTACTGTACTGTACTGTAATTTCCCTAAATTACCTCAAATAGCCCTGATCCAAACATCATCGTGCGGACGTTTACATCAGCAGTGTGCAACAGGAGCCACACTTCCCAACAATAACATGCAATAGGCTAGTAAATATATTGTGTCTAATGTGTGTATATATTTATATTTTGTTTACTTTCTTATTAACATGTATTTTTTTGTATGTTTAAGTTCTACAAGGGGGCTACGCACCTAAGAATCTCACTCACCTCCACACCTGTGTAAATGTGATGCGACAATAAATGTGATTTGATTTGATTTAAAGTGGGTTTATTTACCCAAAGTCCTTATACATACTCAAAAACATGGTTCCCCAAAAGTTCTTTAGTAAAGAAAATGGTTCTATGTAATTTTGTATGGTATGACATCAGGAGAACCCTTTTTGGTGCTATATGGAACCATTTTGAAAAAAGTTCTATATAGCACCATCCACCAATCTGAAGAACCCTTTCACCGTGCAAAGAACCTTTTAATCATGCAAAGGGTTCTTTGAGTGCTCAGGATTCTATATAGAACCATTTTCCTAACTGAAGAACTCTTGAAGAACCAAATTATTTTTTTTATTTTTTTATCTCGGCAGCCATCTTTGCAGCACCACAGGGCAATTATGTTCAACGAGACTCCTGTCTCTCTGAATGGGGAGAGACCTAAATATTCAAACTGAAGGTCAAATTACTGGTTTAATTATATGTTTGAAACCACTGATAAAATCCTACGATAACCAAAAACCTAATGTTTGGCTCAATAACACACAAAAATACGTGATTTTTCAGGCTGTTCTGGCGACTGCACTGGCGTAGATCCCCACAGCAAGGTGGGGCTTACCCCTGATTGGCTCTTTTTCTTGAAGGGCGGGACTTGCTCTGCGAGCAGATGCCATGTTTAGTGTTACGAGCTTTCTTATTCATATTTTGACCAGTGATCGTCTCCTCATTTATAACATCTCTGACTTAACTCACCAAACGCCGTCCAACAAGACAGAAACCACACAGCCTACTAAGAGAAGCTTTCATGATCTCCCAGTTTCCTTCTCCTTGTAATTCAGCCAGCTTGTCATGAACTTGAGTACTAAGGGTCAAATTGGGCTCCATTTTAGCTGTTAGCCTCGTCTTCAGGTCACAAAAAGAGAACATAGATGGAGGCGCCGTTTTCTACGAAGCTGAAGTCGCTTCTTATTCGAATTTTCTCGTTCCACCTTAAACGGTTCAGCAGTATCTGAATTATAGGAGGTAATTCGCTCTAGAATTATTATTTAGACTAAAGATGGTGCTTCAAGTGTTCTTTGGTAAAGAAAATAATTCTATATAGAACCTTTTAAAATTAGTTCTATACAGCACCCAAAAGGGTTATTCTATTGTATACAAGCTTGACATTATAACAATAGGAGAACCCTATTTGGTGCTATATAGAACCATCCACAGCACATTCTCCATCAATCTGAAGAATTATTTCACCAAGCAAAGAACCATTTAATCATGCGAAGCGTTCTTTGACTGTACACGGTTCTACTTAGAACCATTTTCGTACCAGATTTGTACTAGATTAAAGTCATGGAGCTCTTTGGTAATCACTCAAATTACAGCACGTCCTCAGGTAATACTAATCCAGCTCCAATAGGGCTTCATTCAATCAGCCAAGACATGTTACTGAGGCTGTGAGGTTTATGTAGCTAACAAGTGAAGTAAGCTTACAACCCACCAGGCTACATCATCACACTCTCACCTCATCAAATGTTTACAGATAACAGTGAGTCATACAGTGTCAGAAACCACATAATCAAGTCTATCAGAGGTTCTGAACAACTACACACAGACTGAGGCATTATTATTATTATTATTATTATTATTATTATTATTAGCTTATTATTAGAATATGATGACCTCAGTAAGGGTCAGCTTGTGTTTTTCTGTCTGCAGGGAGGAATGAAGGCCGTGGTGTGGACGGATGTGTTCCAGGTTGTGGTGATGCTCTCAGGCTTTATTGCTGTTTTTACCCATGGTACCCTGCAGGTGGGGGGCGTGTCCGAGGTGCTACACATCGCCACCAACGGATCACGCATCAACTTCAACGAGTAACACAACAGTTTGCCTACACAAACAACCCTTGGTTCCTCAAGGGTTCTTTAGTTAAAAAATGGATCTCTATAGAACCAAAAAGACTCAAAGAAGGATTGTTGGAGAATGTGCTGCACATGGTTCTGTATAAGACCTTTTTGAAAATGGTTCTGTATAGGACCAAAAAGGGTTCTGCTCTTGTTCCAAGCTTGACATTGTAACAATCGCATAACCCTTTTTGGTGCTATATAGAACCATTCTCAAAAAGTTTCTATATAGGACCATTCTCCATCTTCACCATGCACAGAACCCTTTAATCATGCGAAGGGTTCTTCGAGTGTTAATGTTTCTATTTAGAATAATTGTCTTTACTAAAGAACCCTTGAAGAACCATCTTTTTAAAGTGTAATTACAAAATGCTTTTGCAACAATTATAGCAATTAATTAATAGCAATTATTTTCTGAAACAGGAAAGAAACAACAGAGAAGCAAAACATTTAAAATGCTGCTGTTACTACTAAAAATAATCATATTGTTATTATTACAGGTTGTATTATGTACAGGTTATAATTCTTCATTGTTAATAGGAATGTATACATATAAGCAAATGCTTTGATAAAAATATTATTATAAAAGATTTAAATATCATAAAAATAAAAAACATCCTTACAGGTAGTTGTAAGTGAGTTCCTCTCAGCCTCTCTCTCTCTTTTCAGTTTTGGTTTGGACCCTCAGAAGCGTTACTCCTTCTGGAGTTTCACTGTTGGAGGGACGATGGTTTGGCTGTCGATGTACGCGGCCAATCAGGCTCAGGTCCAGCGCTACATCTCCTGCAGGACAGAGCGAGAGGCCCAGTGGTGAGGAACAATTCCTCAATGTTATTTCGTTATTATGACAACATTCTCTCATCATCACTGTAACATCCTCTCTCATCATCACCATAACCACATCCTCTCTCATCATCATCGTAACATTCTCTCTCATCATCACCGTAACAACATCCTCTCTCTCATCATCACCGTAACATTCTCTCTCATCACCGTAACAACATCCTCTCTCTCATCATCACTGCAACATCTTCTCTCTCATCACCATAACATCCTCTCTCATCACCACAGCAACACCCTTTTCTTCATCATCCAAACAAAATTCTGTCATCACCAACAACATCCTCTCTCAACACCATAACAACATGCTCTCATCACCGTAACTTTCTCTTTCATGATGACCATAACAAGATCTCTCATCACCATAACAACCTCTCTCATCATTACTGAAACATGTTCTCTCATCATTGCTAAAACAACATCCTCTCTCATCATCGCTGTAACCAAATCCTCTGTTCATCATGACCATAACAACATCCTCTCTCATCATTACTGAAACAAAATCCTTTCTCAACATCACTGTAACCCACTCTCTCATTATCACTATAACATCGCCTCTTATCAGAACTGAAAGATGCTTTCTCATCATCACTGTAACGTCCTCTCTCATCATTACTGAAACAAAAGCCTCTTTCATCATTACCATAAGAAACTCCTCCTGGAGAATTTCACTCATTGTATAAATCAACTCTATTCAAATTTAGTCACAGCACTGACTCCTTTTGACAGCATTCGCTGTTTCAAGAAAAGTGTAAAATAATAAAACATATAATGTATGAAACTGTAAATACACACATTGACCTCAGTGAAAGTTTGGACACAGCTGCTCACAGTCCCATCATTCCCGTAATAAAGTTCTCTCCATGACTAGGTCTTTGTTTGTGAATCAAGTTGGACTGTGTCTGATCGTGAGCAGCGCTGCCACATGCGGAGTTGTGATGTTTGCGCTTTACTGTCACTGCGACCCTCTGAAATCCGGCAGGATCTCCGCTCCAGATCAGGTCAGTCTGTAACAGACAGAACTGATTCCGACACACCTTTGGGGGCAGCTAGATCACAATTAATTTCATGGGGTATCATTTACACACACACACACACACACACACACACACACACACACACACATACACACACACATACACACACACACATACACACACACACACACACACACACCACATCTAAGATGCTTATCCTTCTGGGTCGTGGGGTGAGCTGGAGCCTATCCCAGCAGTCATTGGGTGGAAGGCAATAGAGCAGAAAAGAGGAATAAAAAATCAGTAGAGTAGAGTAACTGCGGTGGGTATGAAAAGCGGATTATAGTATTTTAGTCATTGTCAGTTTTAGAATTCATCCCTGATTTTATAGCAGCTTGTTGACATTCATCATAACTAATATTGAAATATCGGTGTGATTACTCTGTGATTGGTTTATTGTGTGGTTGCTGTTTCAGTTAATGCCGTACATGGTTCTAGACATTTTTCGGGACCTTCCTGGTTTCCCTGGTCTTTTCCTAGCTTGTGCCTACAGTGGAACCTTAAGGTAAATCAAAACAACCCTCAAATCTTATATCTCATATCTCATATCTCATACCTTAGTCAAATGAGAATCAGGTTTTGCTGCCTGCAAAGCATAATATCTGTATAATAAGAAAACTAAAGCTGGTAAACAGTTCAAACTTCCATGTATTAAACTTTTAAATTAGCTCAATGAAAAGTGTCAAAATATTTTTTCCCTGTTTTCCCAGCACGGTCTCCACCAGCATCAACGCCATGGCTGCCGTAACCATGGAGGACCTGCTGAAGCCGTGTCTGATTGGCTCCTCACAGAGGAAACAGATTCTCCTCTCCAAAGCTCTGTGTAGGCAACCACTCAGCTTCCTCTCTCTAATGTGTTCTCTTTATTTATTTATTTATTTATACAATAGTTTGTGTAAATGACTACAACCAGCGTGGGCTTCAGAGGACGTGCTAACGTGGCTAACACTGCATGTTGACTGTGTGTGTGGTACACAGCGTTTATGTACGGGGCCAGCTGTGTGACGACGGCAGCTCTCTGCTCTCTGCTGGACTGGGGAGTGCTGCAGGTACACCCTCAGAATACATCTAGAACCTAGAACACCTCCACCTTAGAATCACGTATGATGATTGATGAATACAAAGACAACAACGATAGATCTATATATTGTAATGGAAAACCGTCAACAACAACGCATAGACAACAGCGATAAACCCATAGACAACTATAAAAACCCATAATCAACAACTATAAACCGACAGACGACAATGAAAAATCCAAAGATTACAATGATAAACACAAGGATGACAATGATAAACCCATAGACGACAATGATACACCGATAGACGACAATGATACACCCATAGACGACAACGATAAACCCATAGACGACAATGATAAACCCCTAAACAACAATGATAAACCCATAAACAACAACGATAAACCCATAGACGACAATGATAAACCCCTAAACAACAATGATAAACCCATAGACGACAATGATAAATCCATAGACGACAGTGATAAACCCATAGACGACAATGATAAACCCATAGACGACAATGACAAACCCATAGACGACAATGATAAACCCATAGACGACAATGACAAACCCATAGACGACAATGACAAACCCATAATTGACAATGATAAACCCATAGACGACAATGATACACCCATAGACGACAATGATAAACCCATAGACGACAATGATACACCCATAGACGACAATGATAAACCCATAGACGACAATGACAAACCCATAGGCGACAATGATAAACCCCTAAACAACAATGATAAACCCATAAACAACAATGATAAACCCATAGACGACAATGATAAACCCATAGACGACAATGATAAACCCATAGACGACAATGACAAACCCATAGACGACAATGACAAACCCATAATTGACAATGATAAACCCATAGACGACAATGATACACCCATAGACGACAATGATAAACCCATAGACGACAATGACAAACCCATAGACGACAATGACAAACCCATAATTGACAATGATAAACCCATAGACGACAATGATACACCCATAGACGACAATGATAAACCCATAGACGACAATGACAAACCCATAGACGACAATGACAAACCCATAATTGACAATGATACACCCATAGACGACAATGATAAACCCATAATTGACAACGATACACTGATAGACGACAATGATACACCCATAAACGACAATGATACACCCATAGACGACAATGATACACCCATAGACGACAATGATACACCCATAGATGACAATGTCCATCTAACAGGAAATGCTTACAACAGCAATAAACTCATATATTTACATAAAGTCACAAGCTTATATAGACTCTTATGTCCATCTCTCAGTAAACTCATAGGCTACAGTGACCGTTTCACAGTGAACCCAGCGTTGGGCTGATTGCTCTCCCTCCGTCTCCTGTTCTGATCCGCAGGGCTCGTTTACAGTGATGGGCGTGGTTAACGGGCCACTGCTGGGAGCTTTCATCCTCGGCATGTTCATCCCAGCAACTAACAAACCAGTAAGAACCTTCACAGTCACCAGTCTCACTGATAGCCCAGTGCATTATGGGGAGTGAAAATGCACCCATTCATCCATTATCCATATGTTATGACCCAGTCTAGGGTTAGGCCATAACATAAAAAGAAAGAGAGAGAGAGAGAGAGAGACACATCCGTGAAAACTGAACCAAAACAGCCTAACAAGAAAGGAGGGAAGGGGAAAATAACAAACATACCAAAGCTAACTAAATTAATAACTAACTAAACCCAACCAACAAAAAAGAAAAGAAAACACATCAAATTTAACCCAACGCCTAACTAAACTGATAACCAGGAGAAAACAGAGATAAACAAAGATGTCCTGCCTCCCTAAAATGAGGCAGTAAAGATACTGCAGTGTCTAGACCTCACAGACTTTGATGGAGAACATACAGACTTCAAAGACAACATCAACACCGTAGGGCTGGAGCACATATTAGAGTTTCAGCACCATTAGAAACACAGGTTTAACACACCGCACTGAAACCTCAGCACCTCGTAATCTACTCCATACACAGTTACCACAGCCATCACGGCCTCAGGGTTACTCTAATGAAGCGCAGGCGGTTCTCAGGTTGGTGGTCAGGGAAACAGGACACAACAGCATGTAACACTCTCTCTCACCTCACGCTTTCACCTGGTCACAATCATAATCATAATAATAAGTTTATAGGCCGAGCCCCCTGCTGGACTGGAGTTGTAATGATACTGCAACATGTAAAAGAAAAAGAAAGTAACAAAGAAAATTGCACAGAACAAAACATCACGACCCCTAGGGTCATAACACCATCTGTCTGTTCATCCATCCATCCATCCATCTGTCCATCCACCCACCCCTCTGTCCATCCATCCATTCAATTCTCCTATCCATCCATCCATCCATCCATTCACCCCTTCATCCTTCATTCCATCCATCCACCCCCATACTGTCTTATTATTTTTTTTTAACTTTTATTTCATTTGCTTGTCTATTCCCATTTTAAACTGGTTTATGCCTCCTGAAATTTAGCTGTTTATTTCAGTTTCCTCACCTGTTTTAATGTTCCTATAAAGCACTTTGTAAACTTACTGTGAAAATGGTGAATAAATATTATAATTCTTAGATTATTTCATGTAAACAAGCTCAAACCGGCATGGCATTTCAGTCTATCAGGACGACCCCTTGCCACAATTACAAATGTCTCAGATTTGCTGATGTCTGTCTCGGTTCCTCAGGGCGTGTTTGCTGGAGTGGCTCTAGGGTTCTGTCTTGCTCTCTGGCTCGCTGTTGGAAGCTCCATCTACCCTCCGAGCCCTCAGAGGATGGGGGTCTTACCCACCAGTGCAGACCACTGCCTTTTAGCTAATACAACACACAGTAACACCTCACTGATGGACAGATCACCTGCATCATCACCTTCAGACCCCAAACAGAGCAGGTGAGGAAAAGTAGAGGTACATTCTACTGAATTAGTTTAGACTGTGGACCCACAGTAAAAACTATTAAAAAACAATTATTCAGATTATTCATTCTTAGATGTTTAGAAGAATTATTTTGTGATCTGTTTAAACCGAAGGCATTATTAAAGACAGCTGAATATGCACATCATCATTTACAGGGTGCTTTCCATACTGAAATCTAATGTATATATATAACTGAACAGAAATGGCCTGCAGAGAGTTTACAGCTGCTGAAGCTGCTGCAGCGGTTTTGGAAAGTAGTGATGAAGATAACGGAGCATTTAGATATGAAACATATGAGGATCATGTTATATGAAGAGCTTTAAAGGAGAGTTTAAGAAGAGATGCAGAAATAAAAGAAATCCAGAGACAATGACCTCAGACCACAGGTGGGTCTTACAGATTTGTGGTGCAACCAAATTTAGTAAAAAGACAGTTTGAGACTATCATAAAGCATAAAAGTCACCAACGCTCTGCTGACTCAGTAATAGCAGAGTTGAAACCTAGCGTCGGATGGAGTGGAGTAAAGCGCCGCCACTGGACTCTGGAGCAGTGGAACCGTGTCGTGAGTGATGAATCAGCTTCTCTATCGGTCAGTCTGATGGACGAGTCTGGGTTTGGCGAATGCCAGGAGAACGTTACCTGCCTGACTGCACTGTGCCAGCTGTAGAGTTTGGTGGAGGAGGGATGATGATATGGGGTTGTTTTTCAGGGGTTGGTCTAGAACCCTCAGTTCCAGTGAAGGGGAATCTTAATGCTTCAGCACAAAGACATTTTGGACAATTGTACACTTCCAACTTTGTGGAACAGTTTGGGGAAGAACCTTTCCTGTTCCAGCTTGACTGAGCCCCAGTGCACAAAGCAGCTCCATAAAGGCCTGACTGGGTGAGTTTGGTGTGGAAGAACTTGACTGACCCTCACAGAGCCCTGACCTCAACCCCATCCAACACCTTTGGGATGAACTAGAACAGAGATTGTGAGTCAGACCCTCTCGTCCAACATCAGTGTCTGACCTCACAAATGCTCTTCTGGATGAATGGGCAGAAATTCTCTCCAACATCTTTAGAAAGATTTCTACATTAATGCCTATGGATTTAGAATGGGACTTACTTGAAACCCAAATTTTCCCATATATCAGAATTCTGTATGGCTTTGTAATGTATGTCCCAAACTCTAACCCCTACCTTTAATATTTTGTAAATATATATGTTTAATATATTTTGGTAAATAGTGAAATTAGAGCTGAACTAAATTGCTGAATTGAGTAAAATTGTGTTCTTTCATTCATTTGTAGTCAGCATGGTCTTCAGGACTTCTACTCCATCTCCTACCTCTACTTCGGAGCCCTATCAACCAGTGTGACTGTGCTCTTGGGGCTGGTGGTCAGCTGTTTAACAGGTGAGACCCCTGAAAGATAATTGACGGTTTACTGGGGGGTAAGCTCTTAAAAATATAACAGCAGTGTTAAAATGTTTTATGCTGTTCTGTGTTCAGGAAATGAATGTATTCTTTTATATTAAAAATGTTTAATCATTTATAAACTATGAATTTGTTCAGATGCTCCATCTTAACCCATTCATTTTGGACTCGGTCGAGAGCGCCCTCTATAGTTTGAGAAACCCGGAGGAAATTACAGTGGGAATTCTCCTCCCTACACGTTCTCTGAGCTAACTTCATTACCGCAGCGCGGCATGTTACACTGTAATCTTACAGCACTGCTGCCACCATCAGGCTGGAGGGCCACTAATAACACACTCTAAAACAGAAGATACGGGCTGATTAAAATCTGTCCATGGCCCTCATTTGGCCGTGGAGCTGGACTTTGGACCTGCCTGCACTGAACGTTTATAATCTGCACTACGAGTCAGATATAATTAAAATACAATAATGGCATGATTTTGTTATAAATGTGTTCTAAACGTTCGTTTATGACTAACAGTGACTGTGTTGCTGTTAAAGGACCAACCAAAAGAGCCTCAATCCGGTCCGGTCTGCTCTGGTGGGATCTGGAACCAAGGACTCGTCATGTTCCTCAGGAGAACCTGGTAAGTTAAGACCTGATTCTTCACAGTTTTTGCCTTTGTTGCCGTTTCACACCAGGATGAGCCTCGTTTCGGTCTCCGCAGGGAGAACTGGCAAGCCAGAACCTGACCACCATCCCTCTGAGCCCTGAGAAGAGCGAGGAGAAGGAGGACGTCCTGCTGATCCGGCGGGAGGTTCAGAAGAGCGGTTCTGATCTGTGAGAGTGAGAGAGGGTCGCCGGTGTTGGCTGTGGACTCTGCAGAGGCTTCATCACCACACCTTCACCAAATAAACCACAAACAGCTTCAATACACGATTCTGTCATAACTTCAGATTTAACCATAGAAAACTGTAGAGGACTGATGACATCACAGTGTACAGAGAACAGGGAAGATACAGGTCTCTCTCTCTCTCTCTCTCTCTCTCTCTCTCTCTCTCTCTCTCCTCTCTCTCTCTCTCTATCTCTCTCTATCTCACTCACTCTCTCTCCCTCTCTCTCTCTCTCTCCACTCTCATTCTGCCACTCTCTCTCTTACTCCCGTTCTTTCCCTTCCTTCTCTCCTCTCTTTGTTTCTCTCTCTCTCTCTCTCTCTCTCTCTCTCTCTCTCTCTCTATCTCACTCACTCTCCCTCTCTCTCCTGTTTTTCTCTCTCCTCTCTCCTTTTGTCTCTCTATCTGTTCTATCTCTCTCTACTGTCTCTCTTCTCTTTCTCCCCACTCATTCTTCTCTCTCTCCTCTCTCTTTCACCCTCTTGTCTCTCACGCTTCTCTTTCTCTCTTCCCTCTTTCTCCCTCTCTCTGTCTCCCCTCTTTTCTCTCTCTCTCCTGTCCATCTCTTTCTCTCACTTTTTTCTCTCTCTCACTCTTTTCTCTCTGTATCTCTGTATTCTCTTTCTTTATCTCCCATCTTCTCTCTCTGCACTCTTTCTTCTCTTTCCTCTTTCTTTCTCCCTCCCTTTCTTTCCCTTCTCTCTCTTTTTCTCTCCTTCACTTTTCTCTCTTCTCTGTCTCTCTCTCTTTCTCTGGCTCTTTTATCTCTTTCTCCCTCACTCTTTTCTATCTGCATCTTTCTCTTTTCTCCCCCTTTTTTTGTCTTGTATTTTATTTTTCTCTGTCGCCATCTTTTCTCTCTCCTTCAAATCTCTCTCTTTCTTTTTTTCTGTCACTGTCTTCCCTCTCTTCCCTCTTTCTCCCTCTCTCTCTCCCCTTTTCGCTCTCTTTCTCTCTCCTCTCTCTTTCTCCCCTCTTTTCTCTCTCTCTCCTCGGTCTTTATCTTTGTCTCACTTTTTCCTCTCTCTCTCGCTCTCTTTTCTCTGTATCTTTTCTCTTTCTTTTTCTCCTATCTTCTCTCTCTGCTCTCTTTCTCTCTCTCTCTCCTCCATCATCTCTTTTCTCTATTACAGTTTTCTTCTGCTTTCTCCCTCTCTCTCTGTGTCTCTTTCTCTCTCTCTCTCCCTCTCTCTCTGTGTCTCTTTCTCTCTCTCTCTCCCCTCTCTCTCCGTGCCCCTCTCTCTCTTTCTCTCTCTCTGTATTAAATTCCAGACGTTGTCAGATGATGCTGGTGTTTTAATCTCGGTGTCTGTTGTGTCGGTTCTGCTGTTGAATGCTTCACTGATGGTTTCTCTCAGCTGTGGATCATCAGCACCTCCTCAGTAACTGTGAGCAGCTGCTCCACACCTGCTGGATCTGTTCAGTCTCACTTTCATTTACTGAAAAAAGGAACATGAGTGAACTGTGGAATGTCAAACTGGATCTCTGATAAACTGAATCAAAAGTTGGATTAAAAGTGGACCTCATTACTGGATTTAATCAGACTGTCTGGAATAGATTGTGAAAGGTTATTAAAGTATTTCAAACTATGAATATTCATTTCCCTCCAGTGGTGTCAACACAGCACATCATACATTAATGTAAGTCTATACAAAAAAGATTTAGTTCTGTTAAAGAAATGTATTCAGTTATATATCATTGGACCGTTCTACTGAATTAGATCTACCTGTGGCCCCCCAGTAAAAATTAATAAAAAAAAGTAAGAAACTTTAGGTATTCAGATGTTACATAAACCATATGGCCAAATGTATAACCGTCACTCCTTTATGAGCTTGTTGGACGTCCCATTCCAAAACCATTAATATGGAGTTGGTCCCCCTTTGCAGCTCTAACAGCTTCTACTCTTCTGGGAAGCTTCTAGAAGATGTTGGAGAGAGTCTGTGGGAATCTGTGTCCATTCAGTCTAAAGAGCATTTGTGAGGTCAGACACTGATGTTGGACGAGAGGGTCTGGCTCACAATCTCCATTCTAGTTCATTCCCAAAGATGTTCAGAGGGGTTGAGGTCAGGCTCTGTGAGGGTCACTGGAGTTCCTCCACACCAAACTGGTCACTCCATGTCTTTATGGAGCTGCTTTGTGCTCAGGGGCTCAGTCACTGCTGGAACAGGAAAGGCTCTTCCCCAAACTGCTGACACAAAGCTGGAAGCAGATAACTGTAAAATGTCTTTGTGCTGCAGCATCAACATCACCCTTCACTGGAACTGAGGAGCCCAAACCCTGAAAAACAGCCCAGCCCATCATCCCTCCTCCACCAAACTCTACTGTTGTTCACTCCGGTAGGTAATGTTCTCCTGACATCCACCAAACCCAGACTCATCATCAGACTGACAGATAGAGAAGCTGATTCATCTCTCCAGAGAACACAGTTCCACTGCTCCAGAGTCCAGTGGCGGCGCTTTACTCCACTCCAGCCGACGCTTGGCATTGCGCATAGTGATCTTAGACTTGTGTGCAGCTGCTCAGCCATGGAAACCCATTTCATGAAGCTCCTAACATGCAGTTCTTTTGCTGATGTTGCTTCCAGACGCAGTTTGGAGCTCTTTAGTGATGATTCAACACAGAATAGCCACTGTATATTTCAGCACTCGGCGCCCCCAGTTTGAGTTTGTGTGGTCTGTTGCTTCGTGGCTGAGCTGTTGTTGCTTCTGGACGCTTCCATTTCACAATAATGTCACTTACAGCTGACTGGGGCAGATCTAGCTGGACAGAAATGTCACAAACTGCCGTGTGTCAGAGGGCAGCATCCAGTGACAGAGCCATGTTTAAAGTCACTGAGCTCTTCAGGACGACCCTCTACTGCCAGTGTTTGTCTATCAAGATTTGTGTGCTTGGTTTCATACACCTGTTCTGTGTAATGCTACACATTAGGTAGTGAGGTAATGAGTAAGTTAGCGCTGTGTGTGATTCATATCAATGATAGCTAATATAAGTAATATTGGTTTTGATCAATAGGTCACAGCCTAACACTGGCCAACTAAACTGTTTGTTTACTTAGCTTAGCAACTTGTGCGATGCCACAGTGATCCTGATACTGTCAGATAAGGAGAGAATAGACAGACTCAACAAATGAGTAAATTATGAAAACGGGTGAAGTTCATAGGAAATGTCAGCGAGCTATTGAGGTTTCAGTGGTTTAGCTCCTCTTAGCTAAACATTTAGTGAATAACAAACTCAGTGGGGTGTTTATCATAGAGACCTGATGACCAGTCGATACTGAGAGTCAACTATTGTTAGTTAACATTTTACACATTTATGCATTTTATTATTGAGTCAACAAGAATTCACAAACAATGCTGGAGTGACTGAGCTGGCGAAGCGGGTTTTTTAGGTTCAGATGATGATGAGTTCGATGATGATGTTTCCTGAATGATCTGAATGATGAATCATAAAGTGTCAGATGTGAATCTGATATGACACCGTCACCAAATCAGCACAGTTTCTGAATGATCCTGTATTCACTTCTGGAATGATTCAGTCCTTCTAGAAGCTCCTTTAGTGAAAGGTAAAAATTGTAGATCTTTATTTCTACATACTCACATTTTTAGATAAAGTTGAATGTCCAGTAATCTGGACATTTGGACTCAGTGAAGTAAATTGTGCTTTGGTTAGTGTTTACGGACGTATACTTTACAAAATGCACTCATTCAGGATTTGTGTTTATTTATGAGTAAAAATAGATGATGTTCTATGAATAATGTTGTTTTTCAGTGATTTCAGTGGATTTTACTGTCCAATATACTGGACACTGAAATTAGGCTCATAAAATTTGCAGGCTTTTGAAAAATGAACATATCATCGGGATAACACACCCAAACAAAAACGCTTCCTGTTTTTCCAGTTATGTTATTTATTAATAATAAATATGTTATGACCAGTGTCCAGTAGAGACTGAATATTACATCCCAGTAGCCAAAAATAAAATTCACTTATTCAAAAGGTTCTGTACAGAACCCTTTTCATGTTTAAATGGTTTTGCATGGTGAAATGGTTCTTCAGATTGATGGAGAATGTGTTGTATATGGTTCTATACAGCACCATTATTGCTACAATGTCAAGCTTGTAACCCCTTTTTGGAGCTACATAGAACAATTTCAAAAAGGAACCACATACAATGCATTCTCCATTATACTAAGGAACGTATGAAGAACCATCTTTTTAAGAGTGTTTTTTAAATCAGTACCACAGCAGAGCAACAGCAAACATTTCCAGTAAGCTGGTCTATAATGGTTCATGCTGGTCTGGTGCTGGTTTAGCTGGTCACCCCAGCCTGGTCATGCTGGTTGACCCGGATAGCAGCACATAGCACAAGGCTCTACGATGCACGCAAGCAGCCCATCCAATCATAGCAGACAAATCGACAGCACCACACAGGACGGAGCGCCGGCCGCATCAGACCCCCCTGGGACAGGATTGAGTGGTGTTCACATCAGACCCTCTTGGGACATCTGAGCTGTAGTTTCAGTACTGACAGCATTTTCTGACACGGCGATTTAGACGAGGCTGGTCAGCTTCCTATTTGCCAGCTTCTTCTTCTAATTTTCCCATTTCACCTTAAAGGGTGCCTGAGTGGGCAGCGGCCTGAGGCTCCAAACTGCAACCACTGCACCACTGAAGGAGGAAACTGGACAATTTGAATGAAAAGCTGGCGAATAGGAAGCTGACAGCTTCGTATGATTTAGGCCATTAAAATATCAGTTTTATTTAGAGCTCTACTAAATATGCACTACTGCCGGACATTTCGACAAGGTCACACAATTCATCAGAACACCTGTACGTTTCTGTTATACTAAATTATATTGGTTTTGTTCAGTAGGTCTCAGCCTAACTAGCTAACTGGCCAACTAAGTATTACATTACATCAGTGATCTCTGATCGAGCAGCGCTGCAGTGGAGGTTTTGCTCCCCGTCAGAAAAGCTCTTCTGTACAGCTGTGAGTAAAGTAGGTTTCATAGTTTTGATCCTCATCTGTCTCTTTCAGC